AATTACGATCTTACAACTGTGTCATTCTTTTTTCTCTCTTTTTGGTACAATCATTACATCATGAGGTACAAAACTATTTCGATAAATAATATTCAAGAAAAACATCAATCAATACATGAAATAAGGTGACGCATAGTATAAGATGAGCCCTTCCATCCAAGTCATAGTTTTTACATGCAAATTCATTTGATCATGAGCATCAACCAAATTACCAGAATGAAAAGCCCCATATACCTTAAGTGTAGCAAATAGCAGCCTGCCGACCCCAACATGCACTACTACTGAGTTCAAGTTAGAAAGCACCAAATCACAGCACCTCAAAGCGATTATACAGAATAAGCAAGTGTGAGAAAATAAGCACCAAAATGAACTAAAGATTGTGTAGTTAATGAAAAGAAGAAGCTTGCCCTTGTCGCCGACAAAGTCACCCTGTTCGTGGAGTAGGTGTGAGCGAAAGTCTTACCGAAGTTATAATGAGAGTAAGATAGGTCTGTGTTCAGGCCATCTGGGTTAATTGTAGCCTGGCTGATTCCCAGGGGATCTAAGTCTGCTGAATGGTGGCCTCGAATCTAAAAGCAAAAGTGTCCATCAACTATAAACTGGATATTTTGGTTGTCGACACCAAGAATCTCTCTCTCCCCCTGATGTGTGTGAACCGGGCTATCCAGCCAATCAAATGAAGGCATGTTGTCATGGCGATGGGTCTCTTCTGCAGCGATGCGATCCGTTGCCTGAATAGTCAGGCTGTTGTTGGCCACTCATTTAATAATGGTCAGTTGGCAAAAGTGATTCAGCACAGTTAAAAGATATATGTTTGGTCATTGTATAATTGTTTCTGGACAGAACAGTTTAGAAGGATTGGTTCTAGACAGTTAAAGATAGCTATTGGTCATTCTTTGGTAGTTTAGCAGAATTGGTTTAGGATAGTTAAAAGATGTTGGTCATTCTTTGGACAGTTAGCAGTATTGATGCAGGACACTTACAGCAACAAAGAAGAAGAATTGGTTTAGAACACATAAGGATATGATGGTTGGCCACTCTACCGAGTTAGTTCCAGACAGTTAAGATCTAGTTTTCTACTTCTTAAGGGATGAATGTTGATCAGTAGACATCAAAGACATTTCAGACAATAGTCAGTTATCAGCGGTAAGAATCACTGTATGTTTTTTTTTAATAACCCTCTACATAGGACTGCTGACTGGGAGCAGGAACGGTCAGTTTAGAGTGGTCCGTTGCATTGTTAGAATCAGGACAGCTTGCCAAGGACAGATACTGGTCAGTAAGTATCAGTTTATTGGCACCAGTAGTTTAACCACTGATCATGAGGAGGGATTCAAGATTGTGTCAGTCTACCCAGCTGAACAAATAGGTATCAGCATCTTGCCAGGTAACCCTATGGAAAACGTCATCATCTAAAAGAAGCCTACTGTTTTCAGTCAAGATGGTTAAATAATTAGGTGTTTAAGTTGTTCATTATCTATGGACAAGAGTGGGAGTGCATGATATTGATGACCAGTTTTTTAATCTAATAAATGATCAATCTATTGGCCATACCAATTGATCTGATAGAACAGATCGCAGCTCAATAGTGTAACTAAAATTGGAAACATATGAAATGTGACTGAAAAAGTCCTAAAACAGGTCTGCACTTAAAAATTTCCATGAGAAACTTGTAAGTTTACAAGTAGTAATTAAAAGGTTATTGGTATGACGTGGGCATAAATTCAATGTTAGATAGAAAACCTCATACACTGTACCATTAAAACGATTTCTAGTAACTAATTGTATTACAGATTCAAGTTTAAAATCAAACTATTCAACTTCAATACAGGGGACTTTTTTTTAAATTGAACAAATTCAAATAATTAAAATTGTATTTGAAGGCGAGAAATTTTATAACATCATACTAGAAATCAAATTTTTTTTAATCTATTTGCAAGGAAAGTTAAAAGAAAATGTAAACATCCTGCTACAAAAGTTTACATTAAATGTACACCTGGTTTAGCACCCTGGATCTATGTGGAAAGTTTTGGAAAGTGATATCCAAATCCGCCTACAGCAGACGGTAATAACTAGGGATAAAAAGACTAAGAGACCCATGAACCAGGAAAGACATCTAATTTTTTTGCATACTTAATAGGTTTTCTTAAGAAAGTGTGGCAAGCTGTTTGTGATGATATGTGCTATTAACGCTGGTGATATTAAGTTCACAACATATATATACATGTAGTCACAAACAAGACTCCAGTGAAGTGTTTGGGGTCATAAAATAATTTCATGAACCTAGACACTGAAACTCACGACACAAACAAACGTACGATTTTCATTACATTGAGAGTGGCAAAAAGTGAGAAACTACCGGCATACACCGGTACCTGGTTCATTAATATCTGTGACTTCATGATGCAGTACAAGTGCCACTGAAATCTGTATTATTGTCTCGAGAAATATTGGGCAGCTAGGGCAACAGAATTTACATTAGGTCAGAGAAATACCTCACCCATATTCTATGACGAGTTGTTTATTTACATTGTACCATACCGTAAACTAATACGCTTTCTATGATTAGTCTATAATTAGTTTCTCTCGACAACACTATTTTTGGTACAGTTCTTGTGATTTTATATTTTGCGTTAAAAAAAAAAAAATCTATTAGACGAAGGACAATAAAAAAATATGAAAATGTATGAAATAATACAAACTTATATACGTTATCTTATTCAAATTTTAAATCAACCATCAAAAATAACATTTGCATAATCTTGTTCACAACCTCTATAATTAATTATTTTGAACAGAACAAGATTAAACATATTCAGTTTCGTTACACTTTTATCATGAAAACCAACTTGAGGTTTCCGAAAGTACCAAAAACTGTGTGATCTTGGAGAAGGTGAAGATTTAAGATCTACATGGTTCCTGAAACTAGGCGTAGAAGAAGGAAGATTGGTTTGTAATGTTTAGCTGTAGTAGATTAATATACAGAGTATACTATATTATACTAATACCAGAGTAGCTGTGAAAGATATACTACTAGAACCTATTACCAATAGTTGATTTGGTTTCATGATTTTCCAAGTTTGTGAATGAAACATCCAACCAATTTTCACAATTCGTACATCATGCTACTTGCCAAATTAAACTACTCGGGGAAAAATCAGACTTTTATTGAATTAAATTGATATCTGACTAACATAAAAATGTGTTCAAAAGCAACGGTCCACGTATTTTATAATTGTAGACATTTTGCACTAATTTTGATAAGTTGTAGAAAGTAGACATTATCAATATAATACAATTTATAATTAATTGCTGGTGTTTTCTTGAAGATGACATGAGGAGTGCAAGAAAATGTGGTAAGAATTGTGAAAGATTTGATGAATATTTATTTCATCCAAAACTCAAAAAAACCACAAAAAAACCCAACACCAAATGAAGCACATAGAATCCCATAGACTGTATAGGTAGATTACAGGGGACAAGACACTCCATATTACTCTGTTTATATGTCGACTCCGACATCAACCACTAAACTTTGAAGTAATGTGAATATCATGGTGCAATTTTGACATCATGGTTATGACAGGGTAATGATGACTTATTGAAAACAAACATTAGCTGTTCTTATGATACAATTTAAACAAACACTTCCATACAACATTGGGTTTCCCGCTCATATTATCTTACACTCCCAGTGACATACTGTACATATCATTACATACCCGCTATCAGAACACTTTCCAAGCATATTTTTTACAGTATAGTATTCCGTCTTTTCAAATTGCAGAGTTATCTGCTCTTGTGAGCAGGTATTGATTGTTAAGTCATTTGTTTGTGAGAGTAACGTCATACATTTGTGAGAAAACAACATATTTTTCTCACACAAACAAATGACGTAACAATCAATACCTGCTCACAAGAGAAGATAACTCTGCATGACGCAAAGACGGAATAACAACATCTGTGAATGTGGAACTATATCAACACCGATGCTATAAACCAAATATATTCAAATACAGAACATATTTTAATTATGTTCCTGGCAGAAAACACACAATTAAAAAGGGCTGCCATGTATGGCTAGCCATGGATCTGTTTCAATCACTCAAAATGGAAAGACTATCCTTTTAAAGAAGAAAAAATATAACAAAATATTGAAGGCTACCTACAGAGAAAGGGAAGATGAGCTAAAAATTTCAGAAATACTTCAAAATAAATCGTGACACCAGTAGCACAGTTTGTCCACAGAAATCTTTTAGCAACTAAATACAATAATGATTGTGTACGAGTGACGTCAAAATACAATGTATAGTCTTTTGAATTTAATGATACCCATACAGCTTAGTTTTAATAACTAAAGCATGCAAAAACTTAATAACAAAACTTCTTCTCTGAACTGGTGAATGCAAATTAACATTACAGGGGTGTAAAAATCAACTCTCAAGTACTGGCTCAATGTAATAAGCTAAATGTATACATCAGTGGGCTAGTACTTGTATAAATTGTACCAGTTCGATACTACAATATTGGTGAAGTGTAGTTTTATTCGGCTGGTGGATTTTTACACCCCTGAACGAACCAACGATAAACTAGTCTACTTGAACACATTCCGTGACTACTAGAACCGGGTTCATAAACGACACACTCCAGAACTCCAACAACACTTTTCTGAACTACTCGTGTTTCATCAACAACACATTCTCGAACTTCAACACATTGTGAAACTATTGTAGTTTACAAGCAATATACTTCTGAAATTATTACAAGTCAACAACTCCATGTAACGTTTAAGCCCACATGCTTTACAATCAATGTAATATATACACATGTATTCTGGTATAAGTTGCATAGGTGAAATAAAATCATACACCCTCCTACCCCTGTCCCCAAGATAATACTTTAATACTTATTCAATTTTAAAACTTATATCACAACTAAACCAGTTGCATATAAAATTATGTGAAATCTGAGACAATTTTTTTATAACATGATCTTGGGAAAAAAAATTGAACATGTGATGTCACCAAAGTTCATTCAGGCACTGCCCCGAGGTACATACAACTTTATCAAAATGTAAACAATGTGGAGATGAAAAACACAATTGTCAGCAACTTTTCGGTGACTTTTCAGTTTTATTTACAGTGAACCTGGTATTAATAGATATCATACTTTTCTGTCTGACTTTTCACAGTTTTATTTACAGTGAACCTGGTATTAATAGATACCATACTTTCAAAACGCTTGTATATTTTTCTGAAAAAATATGTAACAAAAAGATTTTTTAAATGTGCAGTCGGATCAAGACAAGTAGACAAATTCTGTACCTCTTAAAGTGCCTGATGCTCTTCATTAAATTATAACTATATTTTCTAAAATGAGATTTTATTTTGATTCAACTACAAAAAAAAGAAGCTGATTTGCACAAGGTTAAATTTAATTATTTTTATGGCGAGGACCAATTCTATATCTAAACATCCTGTTACCCACCTAATCCATAGTTAGTCGGAATCAACTCATACGGGGTTTCTGTATCTAGGTCAGCAGCCGCAATCCCCAAGGGGTCCAGGGATGCGACATTATGGCCTCTTGTCTGCAAGGTCACATGTCGATAGGGTTCAAAGGTCAATAACAATTCATTATATACATTTACATAGGTCAAAAGGCTCTTGTTTCTTAAATGACTTCAGGAAAAATTGGTCATATTTAGTTTTCTTTCAAAGGTATATTTTATATTTCTAAAAACCTATGCATTGAATACGTTTGATAAATCTTTCAGTAGATTGTATCATTTCTTCATTTCTTTAAATACTGTAACGAAAACAAAATTTAATGTTATATTTTCTTTTTTGTTTTCTTCATGATGTATAATTGTAAATATTAAATTGACGTTGGAAAAGTTATTTAAAATAATTATTTTTGGAAATTTATTTTGTTAGTTGAAATTTTATTTTTTGTTAGGAAATAGGAGCCAAGTGAAACAAAAGGAAGTGGAATGTACAAAATACACACAACAAAGGTTTCTACAAAACAAATCAGACACACTTGGACAAAATTAAAATAATACACAGAATGATTGCTTGTTTTGCAATTTATAGGAAATTTTAAGTGACAAGAATGTTGAAAGTAATGAAATATGCACATTTGTAATTCACATTAAAGCATCAGGAACAATCCAAAATATTGCAACCTACCTTTGGAAACAATATAAATCACTGCATATTACAGAAGCCTTAACAAAGTGTCTCCCTTCTTCCGTTTTTAGATATAATTGACACCTATGATATTCCGTCTTCAATAGAGATAATTTTTACTATTAAAAATTAATATGATTTCAATTTTTCTAGTTTTAGTTATGAATAGCTGCAACATGTTAACTGCATACCTTTATACAGGAAGGAAGCTTTAAACTCAGGCCCATGGGTTAGAATAGATTACCTGCTTTTTACTTGTATAATATTTCATGTTGAATATGATGCAAGTATATTAAGAGCGAAATCAATACAGGGCAAGAACCGGACAAAATTTACTAAACATTTCATCTACTGGGCCCCACCCATCTGTCTCAAGGTTCACCAAGCCCGTAGATCCTTAGGTTAAAATCTGTTTACAGATACTGAGGGAGTAGTCTTTCAAAGATCTGCCCCTTTCCTCCTTTGGCGCTACCGTTTTGCCGCCACTGGCCCAACCCCCCAGGATGGACAAATAAATTTATGTTATGTTATTATTTTTGTAATAATAATAATAAACTATGTTAAAACTCGGTCATTTGTACTGGAGGAGTAGGCTTTTAAATAGTTGCCATTATTTCCCCCTACTGGGCCCTTATATATATGACATTGAGTTCCCTTGGACCAAAAATGCTTCAGAAGTTCAGACCATATATTAGAATTCTTATACCACTACTGAAGCAATTGATGTTAAAAAATTAAACCTATTTTGCCTCATCCTTGTAAGTTATATCCTATGGAATGCAAATCTAATGCTATTAACATACCTGTGTCTACAGATAGCTATCAAATTCTACATTCAGCCTGACACTGGGCTATTTTCATTCAAAATGAGGACAAGAGTTAAATTTGACCGAATAAACATAATAACCAAGAGTATCAACATGACAGTCTCTGTAACAACAGACTGTGTAAACAAGGTCAACACCACACAACCATGAAAATGTTTATACAGCATTATAAATATATGTATATTCCAGCAATGTATTTACATACATTTTGTTTATCATCCCGCCCAATTGTTGATTTAATCTACAGAATCCAGGAACTATTTGGGTACCGTAGGTGTATCAAGCAGGAAAACATGTAAACATGTGAAAAGTCAGGTGAGGACAATGGCCAAACCCTGTCAGTGTACCTAAGACATGGCTTCATGTACCATATAATGTAGGCCAATAGTGTGTGTGACAGATTCAAACTTAGGTGGTGTACCTAAGACATGGCTACATGTACATGTACCATATAATGTAGGCCAATAGTGTGTGTGACAGATTCAAACTTAGGTGGTATACCTAGGACATGGCTACATGTACATGTACCATATAATGTAGGCCAATAGTCTATGTGACAGATTCAAACGTAGGTGGTATACCTAGGACATAGCTAATAGGGAAGGTATCACTGATGTGTTTTGACAGACACATACCTGTGTAGTGAACATAAATGTAGGACTTAGGCTAGCTCGGTGTCGCTGATGTAATTGACAGACACATACCTAGGGTGCGTACCTATGGCTTGGCTATAAAGGGTAGATCATTCACCTGTGTGTGACTGACACAAACTGGCCTAGCATAGTACCCATGGATTAGCAGGTGTGTTGATCAAGGTGTATGTGTGACAGTTTAAATCACAAGGAGATATCAAAACTTGCATCGAAAAGTGAAGCAATCACAGCCACTCCCGAAGATCAAATTTCTGTAAACACATTAGTCCAGCTGGATGAATTCAAAAGTTTGAAGACCTTATCAGAAAAAAATTGTTACAAAACAACATATAATGTCACACAAATATGATGCTTGTCTTCAACCATACAGAAGTAAAGGGCAGAACAAGAAACAAAAAACAGCTTATCTGACCTTTGACCCCAAATTTTTAAGTGACTTTGGACTTGCACATAGGAAATATAAAGGTCAGGACAAGAACAACAGCATGATTGTTGACCTATATTAATGACCTTGACCTAGGGGTTAGGAACCAATAAGTAGCACCTGTTTAATATAATACCAGTGGTAATACTAGTATCGAGAGAGTCTATAGACATCTTCATCAGCTATACCTAATTGTGGTCATCAAAAATGAAAACATCACATTTTATATATGATATCAATCTCCACTAGTGACCTTGACCTTGGAATAAGGAAACTGAAATGGTAAATGACACCCAGAATCATGGTGATGCATGTGTTCAGTGTTTTAAGAGATATACATTCTTGATCTTCATCCATTCAGAACAACTTTTTAGTACAAGACGGACGTACATTGCTGTATATAGTAAGTCACGCTGCACTGGTACATACACACTACCTGGTAATAACTTATCCTTAAAGGAATTTCTGAGGCACAGAGAATTTCTCCACTCAATTGTCAATAAAATCAGACAGGGATAGGCCCATTTGCATTGCTTTATTTTCGGAATGTGAAATATGCATTGACACTGGGAAAATCGACAGTTCTAGGGAAAGGCTGTATGCCCGCATAATTTTTTATGAAGAGACAAGTATATACATGTAGTAGGAAATATCTATGTATAGTAAATGATGAAATTATGAGAAACACTGAATCACACTATGGGTTATTTTAGTTCTAGTACATGTACCTTCATTAGTTGGTCTTGTTATGGACAGGGCAGTAAATCTACATTTAATTTCTCAAATATTACTGACCACTTGAACTTTATTAATGCAGCATATGGCCCACGCATTATACAGGTATTACAGACAGAGGACAGAACACATTACAAACAACTCCTCAACATTTTAGGAAGGATGTTTTGATGATGTTTGATATAATATATAAAATATATATGGGATCAATGCTGAAAAGGAGACTTTCATTAATGTCAACAAATAGAACATACAATGTCAATACAAATATCACAAGGTAATATAAACAGGGAGATTGAAGATCATGTAATCATAAAATAATTCTGTTTGGGAATCATAACTTTTGCATCAGTTTGTATGAATTATCATAAATTGTCAAGTTCATTCAATTATTATGTAATTACCACTTTCCTAAAGTAGGTTTAATAAAGTGACTATTTTTTTAAACTTACTCATTGACAATGCCGTACAAAATTAGAAAATTTACATTTCTTATATAAGTGATTTAACATGTCTTATTTATTGTAATTAGAATATTTTCAGAAAAGTGAATAAAATGTAGCAAAATATACACACCTGATATGCCCTTATAAGGGCCTGGACGGATAAATGATCAGTGATTTCTTTCTCCCCCACAGCCCCTGGCTGCATGCCTGTGGCCCCAACAGGAATCATGCTTCCGCCAAGGGAAGGGGGGCGGGCATAGGCCTCTCCTGGCTGGGCACCTTGTGAGACCATTTTGAAATGGGAGTCCCAAGACTGTATTGAAGAAAAATAGAAATTTTATTAAATCATATCCACGGTTTGTAATTAATATATTTTTTGAAGTCAAAAGTGCCAACACAGCAGATTCTGGGACTGTAAAAGATTATTTGTAGCAATTTGTAAGTGAAGACCCAGAACCACGATTAATTTTCTTCTGTACCTTTTAGATCTCAACTCATTCAACCCTGAAATTTCATAATGAACTATTCCAACCTTTGAACTGGAAGAGTTCAAATTTGTTTTAAGGGGTGAAAGAGTTAAAGGCGACAATGGATTGCTTAAATATGAGCTTTTGCCCTATCCAATGCTAAATAAGGTATCAGTATTTTCCCATTCCATATTATTTATTTTCTTTTGGCAGTGTTTGTCAAGAAGCCTCTACATAGCCTGCTGCTATAACAATGTGACCAAATTTAACATGCAGTATCATGGTCTTATGACTAAGTTCTGATATTTCATTGCGCTGACTGTTGAGTAACCCTATCACCTGTACCACGCTGTCATCTAATTATGACCTTAATAAGCTGCACACTGTCATCATAATGTGTGAGTCATGACGTTATCGCTGTGGACGATGTCATCATGTGACCTTAGCTGTTGTGATCGTCACTCATCATAAGACCTTATACTATAGCTGTTGACGCTGCCATCATACATTATGTATGTACGCTGACAAAATTAGTGTCTAATACGTTTACACTAGTTGTGGACACATGGATAGATAGATATAAAGAGCTTTATGTGATTGGTAAAATGTCCATAGCTAGTAGCTACATGTATTCGTAAGTGACCCTGTATCATGATAGCTTGCTGAAAACTGCACTTGACAATAAGTTTCAGCTTCAAGAAGAGAATAATATCAGTTCATGAATGACACCAATTTCTCTCAATTTAAGGGTGATGATAGCGCGAAGAAAATTTTAAATTGAAGGGAGATTATTTTTTGTCATATCAGACCAAAAAAAAATTGTGTTTAGGGTTGCATGGGCAAAAAAAACAAGGGCAGGTAGGTCGATTTGTTTGATTTTTTTTTTGTATATTTTTGTGTACCGTGTGGTCATGTGATTATGATTATAGTATTGTATGTTAAACAAAGAATGACATCAACAAGTTCCATTTGGAGGCAAATTGTGCTCTATATGCTTACATTTAGTGCCAACGTGAAACTCAAAGCCATTTTGAAAGGCAAGGAACCTTCTAAAATTCGAAAATCAGCGGTTTTTTTCATTTTTTTTTTCATCAAAAAGTTTTGGGACGGGGGTAAAAAGCTATGGTCCGTTCAGCCTCATATCATCTTAAACTCAGGATTAATCAGCATTGTTGATAAACAAGTGTTTTATCAGCCCATTTGACATCCGGTTTGGCCACAAATATGTTTGTTTATCAGGCCTGTGTCAACATTTAAAATTGACTGACAGTATTAAGAATCCTCTTTATCTATAATCAAATATTTGCTTTTGAATAAATGAGTTTGAGAGCATCGTCATAATGCAGAAGAAAAGTTCAGGCCAAAATATAAAAAAATAAATTAAGTATTTAACCTTTTGACTTCCACTATGTAAAAGAAATCCAAGAATTTAAGATTTGCTAGTGTTTAGCACCCATAGGGTGGTTTTAACTTCTAGCTAGTGTTAACCTGTTATAGGCCAAACTTTGCTCAATGTCATCATTTGGTCTCATAATTATAACAAGAGGCCCAAGGGCCTTAGCGGTCACCTGAGTTATATCATAGGTACTGGTAGCTTTATTTTATTGTTTAGATGTGATGTGGAAATCAGCATGTAAACTAAGTGAAATACAATACTAATGTCATGTCATCAAAGGATAAGAATTTTAAAATATTGGTGACTGTTCCCTTTGGGGCCCAACCCTAGACCCTGGGTATGGGGCAGGAATCCCAATTTTACCATGTAATACCCTCATTCACCAAAGATGATTCTGACTTAGTTTGAGTAATTTTCTGCTGAAAATCGAAAAAATATACCCAAAAGTGTTATTTCCCTATATAAACTATAGTAAACTTTACCCCCTCCCAAAGAGAGTACAGATAGCTCAGGGGTCCTGAAATTTACAATTTAAATAAAGCCCCTGATGACCTTTCTTTCTATGCAGAGAAAATGACTGTAGTACCTCCGAGTCTGGAGAAGAAGATTTTTGAATTATTGGTTAATTTCCCTTTGGGGCCCCACCCTGGTCCCAGGGGTTGGGGTAGGAATCCCAATTTTACAATTTTGTAGCCTCATCTACTAAGGATGATTCTGACCAAGTTTGAAAAAATTCCATCCCCTGGTTCTCGAGAAGAAGTTGAAAATGAAAAGTTAACGCAAGACGCACAACGACGGACGGAAAGCGATTAGAATAGGTCACTTGAGCAAATCTAAAAAAAATATAGCTTTAACTTTGTGGGGAGGTTTTGCTGTGTTTCCATTTAATTGGTCAAATGTGTTCAATTTTAAAAATGAGGCCGTTTTCACCCCAAGGAAACTTTAGTGGACTCTACCATACATTTATCTGGATGAGTCTATTGTGTTCCAGTGGTGAAAGGGTCGACCCTGGCCATCCCTGTCCCCCACTTACAGTTACGCATTCATAGTTATCTATAGGCTATGACTGATAAAGCTGTCAACAGATTAAATGTGTACATAGTTCCATAAGGTTACAATATATCTGTGACCACGAGGAGATTATACAGGCTAAGGTTTTAAGCATTTTGACTTGCTGAAGTATGATTGGAAATATTATTACTTTTTTGTTTGTTTCAAATCTACAATTCTCATCCCGGTAAAATTTCAGCCACTTCCTATCAACTGTGTATTAAGGAAAAATTGCTCTTTAGCTCATTTGGTAAACCATACTAGTAAACCAGAGGCCCCTGATTCAACCCCCTATTGATCCCTGGCTACATTGATGCCCACATATAGATCCATGAAATATTGACAGAAATACTTCGCCTGGCTCTAACACTCAGGACTACTAGTTCTTTCCTGGAAGTTGAGTACAATAATGTATGTTATCCTGGTAAAATACTAGACGTTTCTACTAAGTCACTACTTATTTAGCTAAGGAGAATTTTTCTTTAGCTCATTTGGTACAGGCTATTAGCCAGCCACCCGGGCATCCACCTGTCTTTTTGACAGGCAGTTTTCTGAAAGGGACCTATTTTGACAGGGAACTTTCCACTATATAACATTACTATTTTATATCAATTTTGACAGGCAAATTTTTCAAATTAGTTATAGTATCATTATATCATTATCAACGTTTCGGACTGGGACAATTGAAATCCTGATTTGGTAAAGCGCATGTCAGACCAGTAAGCCAGAGGTCCGACTCAATGTCTAGCCACGGAATTGTAAAAACAATGACCTCTGTTACATAATTAAGGAACAAATCGTGAAAACAATTGTTTCTATATTTTCCTTCAGCCAATACATATTTGAGGCTTTTATGATATACATCTAGTTATTACTTATCATACAGGGCAAGTCAGTGGTCAATATACATGAATAAAATGTCTGGTCAGTACCCCTGGCTCTGCCAGAACACTAGGGAAGGTCAGTGGTTTAATCAAATTTATTGAATATTCATGGGTCTGTCATAATCAGAAGGTTAGCGATTTTATCAAATTTAGTCATGGAGCTCTGTCAGAAACCTGGCGAAAGTCAGTGAATTAATTAAATCTATTAGTATTCATGGTATAAATATATATGGCTACTTATATGAACTAACATGCTTAGATACAGTAGTCTAGATACAGAATGTTCTCAATGGTGAATATATAAATGTGGCAAGTGCAGTGGACAAAAAAAGGGCATTGTGCACATCTAGGCATGCCCACCAATACTCATGCCAAGTTTCATTTATTTAAATCTGTCTCGTAATCATTGAGAAATCGCAGAGAAAGAAGGGGAAAGAAGAAGAAAAACAGTAAAACAATAAGCTCTCAAAATTTGCTTTGGTGACTTAAAACTGACAGTGCAAGTTAACAAGAGGCCCATGGGCCTTAACAGTCACCGGATATATTTATACAGAGAGTTGATTTTGTTTTTAACATGAACAGAAATATTATTCAAAGTGACAAAAAGGGTAGGGTCGGGCCCAAAATTTTCAAAGTATCAAACTGTCAACTCAAGGTTATAATTCCAAGTTATTAACATGTAATATTTAAAGCTTCATTTGCCATTATAAACCATAATAAAGTTTGCCCCCCCCCCCCCCCTTCCCCAGGGGGTAAACGTGAGACCCTAGGGTCAGAAACCTTAAGACCCTTCCATCTATGAAGAGTGTTTGATTCTACCATATCTGGGTCTTGAGAAGAAGATTTTTGAAATTTCAGTCAATTCAACCCTTTTTGGCCCCATCCATCAGCCCTGTTGGGTCAGTCAGTGCTCATATGTGCATACTATCAAACTGCTACCTATTACTGAAAATGCTAACCTAAATTGAATTACTTCCAAAGGAAATTAAACAAATGTTGGTCCAAAATGTGATTTCCCTATATAAAGTATAGTAAAGTTTACCCCATCCCCAGGGGGAAATGTGAGACCCCAGGGTCATGAAATTCACAAATTTGGTAGAGCACCTTAAGACCCTTCCATCTATGAAGAGTATTTGATTCTACCATATCTGGGTCAATTTTACTCTTTTTGGCCCCGCCGCTCAGGCCCCTGGGGTCTTGGGACTAAACCAGCCACTCTTTTTGTTGACCTTTGTCCATGGAAGATTCCTGCAAAATTTCATTGAAATTGGTTCAGGGGTTTTTGAGAAGTCGAAAATGTAAATTGTTTACGGACACACGACGGACGATGACGGACGATGACGGACAAAAGGCGATCGCAATAGGTCACTTGAGACTTTGTCTCAGGTGACCTAAAAAGCTTTCAATTGAGATTAAAAAAAAAAATCAAAATGTGTAAACCATAGATTAAGGATGGGCTCCCCTGGCCCTATGTGCAAGATGCATGCATGTAGATTATAGTAGGTAAGCACAAACATAAGCAACATTCATAATAGTGTTCAAAGTACAACTTAGACTACGGCAAATACACTGTTGGTCTTTTTCCAAAAACACACATATATATATACATATACATACTTTACTATCGGATTCTTTTTTGGCAAGACTACAGTTCTTCCAAATCAACTTAACTCACTTGGCATCAGTGATATGTAAAATATTATTCTTTAATTAAGCTGCAATTTAAGACTGTTGCCATTGTGTGTGCAAGCCTTTTTAATCAAGTATATAATTGCTAACTTTCGTTGTTTTTCAAAAATCATTTGTAAATTGTATGCATGTACAGCACCTTACACCATGCTAAAAATAATTTAATTGCAGACAGCCACCAGGTAAATTAAGGTTCCTTCTAACAATCCTCATCTCGATTTTAAAACTTCAATGGAAGTGGGTGTTTGCAGGACCAGGGGGACATATTTTTGTGAGGCATCAATTGATGGCCCCAATTTGAATAAAGTTTATTGCATATTAATTGTACTGTATCTGTACGGTGTTTTTTTTATTTAGGTTTCTCAAATCCTAAAGCATTAAATGAACCTGTAAATATTTTACTCTAGTCACGTTACTTATTTGGACATGATTTCGGTACACATTATAAGAAAAGGTCCCCAAATTGCGCTGGCTGGTTATCAGGTTTATTTAACTTAAGGTTAAAGATAATTTCAAGTTGCATAAAAACACAAGGGAAATCTAGTTACAAATTGAAATTTAACTCATCAGTGTTAGATACACCTGATACTCCAATACCAATTAGTATTAATGGTATGGAAATAATAAATAATACAAACATGAATGTCTGTCAATATCTTATGGTCACTGATATGACACTAAATATAGATTGTCATCACTGACAATAGTTTGTCAATAGTCTCACTGACAATAGTTTGTCAATGTTCAATATAATTTAATATTGAAGAAATGGTTTGGAATCTATTCTAGCGTTCCGAGAAACCAGCAAATTACATTTTTTTAAACCCCCAAACAGCTGGTTGTGTGTATCCTTAGTTATCAAGAACTGCTCGAAGTAACTAGGGATCTAGGGATACAGAATTTATAAATCTATAGAATATACTTTTTCAGTACCCCAAATTCATAACTCGATGGAATAAAACATTTAGAACATTTCACATCATATCACTTAATACCTTATGGACACTATTGGTATCCTTAAGCCACGAATTGTACATTTCCTCAACATAGGCAGAGGATGTGCCATTGAGGAATGGTTCTGCTGCAGCCTTGGTCGCATATTTTCGAGCAGTCGGACCCCGGCTAGTTTGACTGTCTTTTGAATTTGAAGATAGTTTGGCCTGTGAACATGGCCTACAATATTGCAGAACTTTTGTAGATGTTGCAGGCCTAGCAAGGCCACAACATATAGTCTTCACACGATACATCACGTCCTTTCTTTGTGGAAATGTCTCAAATTATGGCACAGATTTGAAAATATCCGACGATCCAGCCTGGCTTTTCACAAACACCGCTTGTTTCGGCACATAAACACTCCTTTTTTATATTGACCTTGTCAGAAAGGTGCTAATGACCTCCCCTGGGAAATTGAAGTCGGTTAAGAAAATATCGACGAAGTGAACAGAAAGTCTACCAGGTTGGTTAACTTTCACATAAATTAGACATAATTCTGTCTATCTTCGTGTAGTTAGTTGCAAATTCCCCGTCACGGAGTGATTCACAGGAAATATTATGAAGGTGTCCTCAGGAGTCGAGTCAGAAGATGGCGACTGTTGCAAAAGTTCACTTCTCGGTCCTGTAAGTAAACAACATTGAGCGTTATTACATGGTAGGGAAATACATGCGTGTACCAGATGACTTTTATAATATACCCTTTTTGCATAGAAAAACAAACAACGCATAATTATTGTATACTTACGTCGGAAAATGCTATGTTTTCTTATACCGAACAGCCAGCTGTTAAGATATTTCTTATGACGTCACTACCGAACGTGTAATTTGTAACACGGGTTTTGATTGGATGAAACGGAGTTACCCTCCAAAAAGGATTTCCAATGGATATCCCCATTACTGTATGGAAGAGTGTAGGGGTTCAAAAAGGGCAAGTTTTAACAATAATGTTCCGAGTTCGAGTGTATTTGTGTTTAACTTTCTGGGAATATAGATTTCTAAGTCCGTCGCAGTGCGTACAGAGACCAGAGACGTATATATTTCTCGGTATGTACGTCTCTATGTCTGGTACTGGTTCTGCTCTGTAACCACCTTATAAGGTATTTGACATTTTCCTTTGATATTGCTTTTTATTAGTCAGGTAAAAAGTTCGGCCCTTTTACTGGCATATGAAGTTAATACCCCCCCCCCCCCCCCTCGATCTCTGCTGATAATGTTTAAAACCCAATGCACTATTTTTGTTTTTATTTTCTTACTACTCACCATACTTGGGTTTAACTGCTATAGGCCTATATATATACACACAACAAGTGAACAAATATATATAAACAGCAAAACTACTTATCTTCACCTGAATCACCATGACCTAGCTAGGCTACTTTGAGAATCGAATGAGGTAATATCGTGAGTAAAACATGTGTTAGTTTACTCAAAACATTTACTTATTTTAAGCTGACAGACTTTATAAAGCCTGCGGTGCAACGCCCTTTAAACTAATCACATTGCCATACGTTACATAATACATTAAAGATCTTTTATATACGTCAAGGTCGCCTATAATACACTTCTCATTACATAATATAGGCCTACAAGCAACTTCTTGATGAGATCTATTATAACGAAACCCAGAGACCCACATGGGTTATAACACTCACCTGAGCTACCTGCTAGTGTTATGTGTTGCGCGAAATGACGTGAAATTACTGCATACAAAACAAGATAGTACTTGAAATGCAAATATGACGACCTTTGGATCGCCGTCGTCCGACAAATGATGTTGGGGTGTGACCGACACAAATCATATATATATACCGTCAGATAACAGACAAGCCTATGTGTTCCCCAATCTCCGGTTACATCAGGTTGATAACCACTGTGTAATTACATCATATAACTCATGAACCTTACGATCATTGAGAAAAAAGCTATTATATATAATCATTTAAACTATTGGTTAAGTCTTACTTTCTATAACCATCAAACTGCCATCCCATAATATTCTTTCCAAGTAACTTTGAATAAATTTCTACTGGAAATACATGTATACTGAATATTATAATGAAAATAAAGCAAAATATACCCCAAAGTGTAATATAATTTCCTTATATATATATATAAGTCTTGCCTGGGGAATGGATGACCCCGTTGTAATGATATTCACGATCTTGTTAAAGCACCCGAAGAACTGTCTATCCACGAAGATTTCATGTTTTTAGCTTATCTGAAAGTATTTTTTTTAATTTTCTTTTGTCCTGCCTAACGTATGGATAAGGTCCGAGTGTTAATTTATTTACCCATCATACAATTCGCTTTCCCCATCCAGTGAATGAAAGTTAAAATCAAGTTTTGATTATTCCGGCCGTAACGAAATTTAACAAAATAAACCCAAACTATAGTTAACTGCATAGGGGTAGGTGCATGACATTTACAATTTTGATAAAACACCTTTTGGTACCTTTCCATCCATGATGAGTACTAGGTACAGCCTATCTGGGTCTGACGAAATACCATTTTATCATGTAATATATTTGACCCCTTTGGACCCAGCGATGGGTGAGGAAAGTGTGGCAGATTTTAATTGTAAATAGGATTACGATCGCCTTCTTGCTTCAAGCTAGAGGGAAATTTCCTTTTAGCTCAGTTGTAGAGCGTCCGACTAAGAACCTATGAATCGCGGGTTCGAACCGGTGGAAGCACCCTATTCTCTTTCCTGTTCGCGGATAATGAGCATTGAACTGCTTTTCAGTTGGTATTCCTTGTCATTATATTAACATTTGCTCTGCATCATCTCCATGGAATACACAGAAAATGCAAATGACTGGAAAGGCGTTATATTAAAGACAGTTAATTGTTTTACACCTTTCCATCCATGACCATCATGGGTACTATGAGTCGCAGCATTTGTCATTTCAAAATTTTGATAAAGCACACATCCGATTTTAGGCCCCTTTGGATCCACCAAATGGCGTTTGCATTTTTGGTTGATCTCGGTTTGTACAAGGAAGCTTACTGCATTTTTTTTTAAACCGGCTCAACGGTGCTTGAGAAGACGTCAAGGAAAGGACACTTTGGTGTATATATTGCCGTAATTACGTTACCATGGGTACAAAGAACCTTTTTTTATTTCACGCCGCGACGGGTACCTTCAATAGAATCTTGTTACGTAATATAGATATACGAGGAATTTTCTGGACGAGATCAGCCTAGTATATGTAGTCAAGTTTCATATAGGGATCGCTTAAGTTTAACAATTTAGAGGTGTTAAAATGCCTATAAAATGTCGGCTTTAAAGTCATATATCATAAAATCTGCATATATTACGTATGTAATTTCAGTATGAACAAACATATAACAAAAACAAGGTTTATAGAAGATAATTTAGAAATAGGAGGTACAACAAGGAAGCGAGAAACAGGGACGACAAACAAACAAATTCGTGGAATTGTGTCCACCGATGTACTCCAAGCATCAACTTGCCTGCTGCCTTATTAAATACGCACAGACTCCACATTTATTTTACATCAACTAAATATTGACATTATATCTCCATATTTCAAATATTGGTGATAATAAGTATATAAATAGGCGAGATATTGTCCAGAAATCAATAATCAATCAGAATTCATGATATAAATGTGACCTCATTCAAATGCAAAACATCGCGGATCACTTTAACAGAAGGATGGCGATTAAGTCAATAGTGTCGTAATGTGAGCAACTGAGAACACAGGGACAATATTTAAGAGTAAACAAGTTTAAACAATCTAAATAAGGAGAACGAAAACTGGATTAAGTTAAAAGAATCTTGTCGTTCTAATTAATTTGACACTGCAAAAAGCACGGTCTGGTTGGTTTTCTTTTGTTGAGCGTCCTGTTAACAGTTAAGGTCATTGAAGGACGCGCCCCCCATGCATGTAATATATGCGTGAGGGTGTGTATGTGTGCAGGAATCAGGATATGTTGGCGTATTTGCCGCCTTGCGATAGCGTGGATCTGATGCCTATATTAGAGTGCTACCTCACTGAAATATCATTACGAAGGAACCTAGCACAGTATTCCATACTGACAACGGGTAAACCAGTGGTTGCGATAACCCTAAATGCTGGACGTTAAGCAGGACATAACAACTACCATATTTAAGAACATGTATATCCCGGCCTGGGGACAGAACCCGTTTCCTACCCCACTTGGGCGAACGCTCGACACTAAGGCCAAAAGTGAGGTGTGCCAAGTAAGGCTCTAGGAAACAAAAAAAAAGTTTTCAAGAAGCAGAGAGAAAATATAAAGATCCCAAGTGGTATCAGCATGGTTAGATAGATACAAATATTCATTTTACTAAAACAACAACAAAAATAATTTTGAAACTGAATAGATCATTTAGAAGTGTACCAGTTATTTATATATAAGATTTTTTATTCAGATTTCCATATTTGAAGACTTCGTTGAAATGCCCCAGACAGGATCAGGTTTTTAGCTCACCTGGCCCGAAGGGCCATGCCATGTGAGCTTATGTCGTACTGCGGCGTCCGTCGTCCGTCGTCCGTCAACCTTTCCGTTTGAACGGCTTCTTCTGAAGAACTGGAGAACCTAGGGTCATGATATTTGGCCTGTAGGTACCTGAGATGGGGTGCTATAAAGTTTCCTCATTTAAATGACCTTGACCTACTTCAGGGTCACTGGGGTCAAATATGTTAAAAATTTCAAACAAAAATATTTTAAGAACCATTTGGACTAGAGTCATGATACTTGATTATGTTATGTAGACCAGCAGTGCAAATTATTTTCTCAATTACAGTAATGAGGTCAAAGGTCAACGTTAAGTGCAAGTCGGGAGTCAAAGGTCGATGTGGGTTAAAAGCTTCAAAATTAAAATTTGAAATTTCAATCAACAATATCTTCAGAACCGCTTAAGAGATGTTAAAATGTCTTGTGTTCTAGTTACCAAATTTGGTCTTAAGTTACCTATATGTCAGTTTCATGAAACAAAAGAAACAGGTGAGCGATACAGGCCCTCTGGGCCTCTTGTTTTTCTTCCTTCTTCTGCTTCTACGAAGAAATTAGAATTGATCTACTGCCCCCATTGGAACACTTTGGATATCCACAGGTTCTTTTCTATCTATTATAACTTCCCGGCGATGTCTCCCTGTGTGCCTTGTTCATTTGACCTTAACTATTACGACGATATAAACCCCCGAACAAAACAACAACAAAAAACTATTGAAATGCAAACGAACTTCCTGGTCTCATCTGCATTCAACTAGAGCAAATTAAAAAAAGGCCAGTGTGCCATAAATCCTGTATAATATAAGTATATTATAAATGTATACAAACATTCGAACTTCCTGGTGTTAACGTTATTTTCAAATGTGTTCTACGCAGATACGGCACGGTCGTTATGTCTATAGAAAATAATAAATAGCATGACAGAATGGATCAACTTGTAAATATGTTTTAATGTATTTGTAGTAAACAATCGGAGTGCTTACTTCTTTCTTTACCTAGGCCTAAAGGAAGATTAGGTATGTTTGGCTGTCGCGTCCGACCGAGGAAAACTGCCGGACTACGAAACATTTATTGATATTTTTTTTACCGAAATTGATTTTTATGTTTAATCCACGTACACCATACTGTTCCCATTTAGAAACCAAGATCTGTCAAGTGTTATTTAAAGTGCTTATGTGACTGTCAAGACGGTTAAACAAAATGGACGCATTGCTTTTGTCGATCGGCTTTTTCGATTAGAGTTGATGAAAGTTAATATTTTTTCTCGCACATAAACAAAATATTTTGACCTACCTACCTCCCAAAACCTAAAGTTCTTGGTCGGGCCACACTAAACAGAAAAGTTTTTAATGGTGGCCTTATACAGCGGACTACGGAGGCCACTTTTCATATGAAGAAAAGTGATATTGAGAGTATTATAATTTATACTCAAGGAGTTGGGGGCGGGGTTGGGGAAGGGAAGACAGGGGCGGTGTTTATAGGAAAACCTTTCTATGACTCTTCATCTGTAAATGATAAGGTTTTCGTGAATCGTGGATGTCCTCAAACCTACCTGCGTTTGGAATTATATCAGCTATGACACATTGGCCTAAAAACCAATTATATGCAAGTTGTAGCTAGGAAATTGTAGCAGAGTCTTAGTTATAAAATATTACAGGTGTACTAAATCGCTGCCTTGTCCGTGATTTCTCTTATGAAGCCCGACGTCATCATGACAAACGTATAATGGGGTAAGGGGGTCGGAGTCGGGGGCAAATTATAACTGAAATAGAGGGTGAAGCCCCGGACAGGGGTCTGGGGGACGAAGCCCGTCAAAAGCTTAGAGTTTTAAGCATGACATGGAAATACTAAAGAATTTAACGCTTTAGTGATTAATAAAAAAAAGCTTGGAACAACAGTAGCTGATTTTAAATATACTGTATTGTAGATAGGTTCTTATAGCACAGACAGTGAAATGTTTGTGTGTAACGTTTCGATTACTAGTACGATATGCATTTTGTCACCTTCAACAGACAAATCTGAGATTGGCTTCATTTGTCTTATACATATCGTACAGTCATCGAAACGTCATACGTAAACACTTCACCGGTTGTGCTATATGACCATGAATATACAATCTTTAGAAATAACGACTGTTTCTGGTACAATTATGTACGAATGTATGAATGAAGTCTATTTATAAGGCAACTTTGTTTCTACAAATTTACCAACGGTGACTGATTTGTATCATGTCGCTCTTTGCTAGTTATCGCCATTTCGCATCATTCAAGGCGAAATAAGAAATCTTCATAAAAAATGCCTCCTTTTGCCTCATGTTCTCATGATCTACAGTGTTTCAAAAATGAACTGGATAAACACTGGGAAAACATTTATTTATTGTATAACTTCAAAGCTAATTTGATGAACTGTAGTGTCGTTACAACATAAAAACTTTCCGAAATCATGTGCCAGAAATCTATCATTAAATATCAGTAAAACGCGAAATGAGAGACGAAATGACCCAATGGCTTGTCGTCATACACTTTGGGTTGTGTTTATCATATATAAGTTTCTAGCAAAGCAATACTCTAGATGTGTTGATAACACTCATACACGTACTGGTCATCAGCTTAATCAGGAGCGTCAAACTATAAACTGACCGACAGTGCTCACGATGATTGAGGAAAGCGCAGTCAATGAATTTCCGAATTATTGACCAGGTGAATATATTACCGTTGTAAATTACTTTCCTACTTACCTAATATTAAAACATACCTGTGAGAAACACTTACCCTAACAACAGTTACAGGGTTGGTATTGCCATTTGGATATGTTCGCGTACAGGTTGACATCTGTAAATCTTAGTAATATGTTATTTCATACCAGAAAAATAACTTGTGTGTTAATATATTGATCTAATATTAGTATAATTTAGTATTCCTACTGAGAATTTCTTACAGGAAAAAACACGTGTTGATATACACAATTAAGTTAATATCATCTTAATATCACTATCTACGTTATTCGGCTTGGATTTATACAGCAAAAGCACACATGCAAGTAGAGTTTTCTTCGTCATCCGTCGTCATTTGGTCTACTGTTGCAAGGACAAATAACCGACCGATGGACATTGTTTGGACTAATTTTCAAAATAATGTTGACATCAAGTTCTTAATTGCTTTGTGCTTTACAGCTAATCAGTATATTTGGACTGACAAACAAATCTATGGACACCTTATGTGCATAAGCTATCTAAAAACAAACGAATTTAGCGTAAGTCCTGTTTTGTTGTATGAAATCTTTCTCGCACGTCTCTGAAATAATTTTACGGACGTCAAGTACTCGAAACGAATGCGATTAGAACATTTACCATAATGCCGTCGTTGGCCTTACTAAAGGCCGTAACGGCCGGACGGTCTAGACAGGTCCGCCTTTTACTTGACATGGGTTTGTGTAGCATGGATTGTTCAGACGAGTACGGACAGACACCGCTTATTAGGGCGATTTTTATTGACTTGGAATCAAGTCGGGATAAGATTGTCCGAATGTTGTTGAAAAATGGCGCATCAGTACATAAGATGGATGTCGTTGGGCGGGATGCCCTCGCATGGGCTTGCTTGTACGGACGTGACGTCAACGTCGAACAACTTCTCGACCATGCTGTGGGGGAATTGGACTTAAACCGACCGGATATCAACGGACAGACGCCGCTGTTTCACGCGGTCGCTTCCGGAAGTGCATCCACAGTTAAGTTAATGGTGGAGGCGTTGCTCAAATACGATCTTTCTGTCGACGCACAGGACGTGTTCGGTACGTCACCGCTCATGCTGGCCATGAGGCTAAACCATGACGTTTGTGCGAGTATCTTAATCCGAAACGGGAAGTCAAAGGTAGGACTTGGAATGAAATACCCGGATGATTTCAACAGAGCAGAAAAATGGGCAGTACAAACTATGAGAAGACCGAAAAACAATAGGTCAAACTTCCCAGTTGATGCTTCTTCAGAGAGAAACAACATGTTACGTCCTGGCCAGAGGATCAATGTGGTCAAAGGTCAGACAGTGGCTAAGTTACAACTTCCGCCAAACTCCGACTCAGAGTCGTCGGAATCCTCAGACAGCGAAGATTCGGAAATGTTCTCTCTATACACTTCTGGTACGGAGACGGAAGACATGTTTAATTACTGTACGAAGTTTGCGCCCAAAATTGCGATTCCATCATCAATACTGGCAGTGAGCCCTTCCCTAAGTACCATAGTCAATGCTTCTAGCGGTGACGAGGTCGACACCTACTCCACTCCGTGTAGTGACCGAAAACAGGATAAACATAAGAAATGTTTGAGTCAACTTTACGGATTAGTTCAAGACCAGATTACTACGTCAAATCGGCTGGCAGCGCACCCACTTCCTTCTTCCCCTGCGACGTCGCACAAACAATTGGCTACGGAGCGGAGTGACGTCAGCAACATATCTCCGAGGAGAGGTAATGAATCGTGGAAATTTGTTTTTTCCAACAATTTTTAGTTTAAAAATGTCAAATTTAACAATTATAAAATAGCATGCCATTAAATCCAGGGTCCACAATATAAGGCGTTAAACAATAAAAAGTCGAAACTCAATCGCAACATCACGGAAAATTCCGTGAAGGCTCAGAATCTAATATCGATATTTCCCGGGCCTTACTGCAATCGGCCGAGATGTTGTATACAATATTCTAGTATTTAAATGACTATGTTCGCTGCCCAACAACCTTTTAATTCAATACCATCTATATGACTATATAAATCTTTCCGAACTTTTTGCCGTTTGTTAGAATCAAAGTCGTTCCATATCATCAGCGATCCGTCCCAGTCAACCCGTACCAAGTTTCAAGTCGTTCCGTATCATAAGCGATCCGTCCCAGTCAACCCGTACCCTTATCAAAGTCGTTCCGTATCATCGGCAAGCCATCGCAGTTAACCCGTACCAAGTATCAGAGTTGTTCCGTTCCATCGTTAATCCGTACCAGTCCACCCGTACCAAGTAACAGAGTCGTTCCNGTCGTTCCGTACTATCGTCAATCCGTTCCAGTCAACCAGTTTACCCCCCTCCCCCCCCCCGTTCTAAGATTACCATCGTCAATCCGTCCCTGTCAACCAAGTATCAAAGTCGTTCCGTACTATCGTCATTCTCAGAGTCGTTCCGTACTATCGTCAATCTCAGAGTCGTTCCGTACTATCGTCTATCCCAGAGTCGTTCCGTACTATCGTCAATCTCAGAGTTGTGTCATACTATCGTCAATCTCAGAGTCGTTCCGTACTATCGTTATTCTCAGAGTCGTTCCGTACTATCGTCAATCTCAAAGTCGTTCCGTACTATCGTCATTCTCAGAGTCGTTCCGTACTATCGTCAATCTCATTGTCGTTCCGTACTATCGTCAATCTCAGAGTTGTCCCATACTATCGTCAATCTCAGAGTCGTTCCTACTATCGCCAATCTCAGAGTCGTTCCGTACTATCGTCAATCCCAGAGTCGTTCCGTACTATCGTCTTTCTCAGAGTCGTTCCGTACTATCGTCTTTCTCAGAGTCGTTCCGTACTATCGTCAATCTCAAAGTCGTTCCGTACTATCGTCATTCTCAGAGTCGTTCCTTACTATCGTCAATCCCAGAGTCGTTCCGTACTATCGTCTATCTCATTGTCGTTCATTACTATCGTCAATCTCAGAGTCGTTCCATACTATCGTCAATCTCAGAGTCGTTCCGTACTATCGTCTATCCCAGAGTCGTTCGTACTATCCTCAATCTCAGAGTCGTTCCGTACTATCGTCAAACTCAGAGTCGTTCCGTACTATCGTCTATCTCAGAGTCGTTCCGTACTATCGTCAATCTCAAAGTCGTTCCGTACTATCGTCAATCTCATTGTCGTTCCGTACTATCGTCAATCTGAAAGTCGTTCCGTACTATCGTCTATCCCAGAGTCGTTCGTACTATCCGCAATCTCAGAGGCGTTCCGTACTATCGTCTATCTCATTGTCGTTCCTTACTATCGTCAATCTCAGCGTCGTTCCGTACTATCGTCAATCTCAAAGTCGTTCCATACTATCGTCTATCTCAGAGTCGGTCCGTACTATCGTCATTCTCAGACTCGTTCCGTACTATCGTCAATCTCAAAGTCGTTCCATACTATCGTCTATCTCAGAGTCGTTCCGTAATATCGTCAATCTCAGAGTCGTTCCTACTATCGCCAATCTCAGAGTCGTTCCGTGCTATCGTCAATCTCAGAGTCGTTCGTACTATCCTCAATCTCAGAGTTGTTCCATACTATCGTCAATCTCAGAGGCATTCCGTACTATCGTCATTCTCAGACTCGTTCCGTACTATCGTCAATCTGAAAGTCGTTCCGTACTATCGTCTATCGCAGAGTCGTTCCGTACTATCGTCATTCTCAGACTCGTTCCGTACTATCGTCAATCTCAGAGTAGTTCCATACTATCGTCATTCTCAGAGTCGTTCCTTACTATCGTCAATCCCAGAGTCGTTCCATACTATCGTCAATCCCAGAGTCGTTCCATACTATCGTCCATCTCAGAGGCGTTCCGTACTATCGTCTATCTCATTGTAGTTCCTTACTATCGTCAATCTCAGAGTCGTCCCGTACTATCGTCTTTCTCAGAGTCGTTCCGTAATATCGTCAATCTCAGAGTCGTTCCGTCCTATCGTCTATCCCAGAGTCGTTCCGTATCATCGTCAATCTCAGAGTCGTTCCTACTATCGTCTATCTCAGAGTCGTTCCGTATTATCGTCAATCTCAGAGTGGTTCCTACTATCGCCAATCTCAGAGTCGTTCCGCACTATCGTCATTCTCAGAGTCGTTCCGCACTATCGTCATTCTCAGAGTCGTTCCTTACTATCGTCAATCCCAGAGTCGTTCCGTTCTATCGTCTTTCTCAGAGTCGTTCCGTAATATCGTCAATCTCAGAGTCGTTCCATACTATCGTCAATCTCAGACCATCGTCAATCCGTCCCTGTCAACCAAGTATCAAAGTCGTTCCGTACTATCGTCAATCTCAAAGTCGTTCCATACTATCGTCTATCTCAGAGTCGTTCCGTATTATCGTCAATCTCAGAGTGGTTCCTACTATCGCCAATCTCAGAGTCGTTCCGTGCTATCGTCAATCTCAGAGTCGTTCCGTACAATCTCAGAGTCGTTCCGTACTATCCTCAATCTCAGAGTCGTTCCGTACCATCGTCAATCCGTACCATTCCACCCGTACCAATGTTTAGTACGTCCGTGCCAAGGATTTCAGTCAGTTTTCCCATACCAAAGTGTCATATCCGTACCATATTAAATATATGTATTTTCAAGTTACTATTAAGTAGTGTGCGAAATCCATACACTGTTGGGTCAATTAACTGGTTGTTCGATATATCGTGAAGTGACAATAATAACAGGTAGCCGTCTTGTTTTTTTTACTCTATACGATACACATGATTTGCTGATTTTAGCATGTATTAGACACAAATTTATGACAAATATAATATGGTACGGATATATCCTTGGTTTGGTGGGTGTACTTAATCTTGGTACGGGTTGACTGTATGCTTATGCATATATGCTTCATAATAACAGTCTGGGGAAAATTAAAAGTTTTATGGAAACCAACAACGGTTAATTTATATGAAATCATACTAAAGGGAACCCATCTAAAAGTCTACCTTATCAATAGATAACGAATGTCTTCTTCTCGATGTGACGGACTTTTCCGGCGAATATATCACCACATTAATGTTTATTTTCTGATGAACATAGTAACGTACTCCCCTGGTAAAAGGGAGGTGATCCGCCGTGGAAATGATTTAACCACAGGCACATTAATGTAAGCTGTTAGAAAGAATGATAATATAACTAAAAATCTCTGAAAAAGTTTCAGTATCTTTTAATGTTCAAACTTCTCATGCAATCATTTTTACACCGATTTCATTACCTAGGTTTCGTTTGAAGCAATCAAATGACAATTTTATACACACCTTTTTATTTTTACCAAATTCAAACCCTTTTTTTACCTATCATCGCGCGTGCATAGATAAGATCATACCGGTTTTAAATATTGTTTAGAGTTAAAATGCATTTTATTTTCAGGAAAGAAAGGAACCGACAGAAACCAGAGAGTAAACAACATGGCTTTAAAAAGACAGACAACCGGGGCGTTGTTCGGAGCGACTCCTCGAGGAACTCGGTTAAGTGACTACATAGACTTCCCATCTCCAATAAAGAGGGGAACCACGTTTCCTCTCCTATCAGACAGACGGATAGACCTCGTAAACATTGGGAATAAAAAATCGGACGAAAATACCAGAAATGGCAACAATACTTACTCACTCATGTAATACAGTTTCGAAACACTTCCAGGCGGAGTAATTTCGACAAAGCAGTAAAATCGTTTGGGGCTTTATTTGCCCCATTTTTGTTTGTCTTTTCGTAAGAAAAAATACCGTGTGTGAAAGATCCCCGGGTTACACTTCTAAAAATGTTACTGTGCTTTGGGAACAGTTTCATTTCTGTAGTTATTGGTCTTTTCTCTGTTTGATATTTTGTGGTTTGTAATTGTTACATGTTTACTACTTTTCTTTGATTTGTAATTTTTGATTTGTAATTGTTTAATGTTTGTGTTTTGATAAAGGGGCGGGTTGCCTCGAAAATTTTACAATTTTCCGCACTGTCGTGAAATATAACTCCTTTGTTTATACAAATGTATACCTATACTTAAGTAATACGCATCCAACAAACGCCTGTTTGTTTGTTTGTTTGTTTGTTTGTTCGGATCTAGTGTCTTTATTGGACCATCGTGATTATAAATAAGAAAAAAGTTTAACAAAATGTCGGACAGCGATACTCATTTAAATATCCAAATTTGAATACTGAATATTTAACAAAACCTAACTCAAAATCGAAGGACAAATTATGAACCAATGCAAGAACAAAGCGTTTCGACACAATAAGACTTCTGTGCCATAGACGATATCCGCCATATAAATCAAATAAAAATGAAAATAATATCACGTTCTCGAAATGAGAACAAGGGAAGTGATAATGAAATAAAAAGGCACACCATTGAACTTTTATAAAAAACCCACCATCGACTTTAATATCGAAAAGAAATATAGTACTTTCTATTTTCTAAACATTCTACCTACAACATTTAAAGCTCTAAAGTTACCAATACTCAAATACGACCCCTACTCGGGTATTGCCACTATATCATCCTCGATACCCCAGGGTTTTTCGCTCACTTTCACTCTCTGCACCTCTGGAATACGTCATAACAGAATCGAAGACACACGGCTGCTCTCAGTAAAAAAAACCTGACGATTCCTCAGATTACAGAGGAGCAACACCCGACTTCAAAGCCAGGTAATTTTACCGTTACACGACCGCGATATTCTTTTGATGTACATCAAAGGACCAAACTAGTATTCTCATCTATAATGTGCTGCTAAATGAGCTTCGATTTTGTTATAATAAATTTCAGGGGTCAGAGAGCGAAAGTGAGCGAAGCCCGTCTGTATCGAGGATGTTGTTATATATACTTTAGACCAAGCATCTAAAATTCTGTTCATCATAACTAACAGAGTAAACGGCCATCTAGTTAAAACTAGATCTTCCAGTCGCTCCCGTTTACTGATATAATTAGACTGGGTAAAGGGAGATGTTGTTATAACACTTATCGTACTTGCATTAAACATTCATTTACAAAATATATACTTTAGTTATTCCTAATTGGTTTATACCATTAACAATTTCTTAAGGTCAATATCAACATTTGAAGGTAAAATCAAACCTAATCCGTTGCTTAGTGTTCTCGCTTATCAATAAAAATAAAAATAACGGATTATAAATGAAAAATGAAAAACTGTTATAATTATCGAAATATTTTAATGAAACTTTCCAAATATGACCACCCGTATATCACCAGGTATCATCCTATACCCATTTTACCATCGAACTGGGTAGTATTACCCAAACAACCGTGTTATTTCCATTTGAATCGAAGGCAAGGTCCTCATCAACAAAAGGTCGCTTGAACAGAAGAAAGTTTCCCCTAAGTAGAGGGAAAATAACCCATAATACTCCCCATTAGTTAACTATCTACCAATCTAAATAAATAATTAAATAAACAATTAGGTCGATGAAATGTTGTCTTATTGGTATATGAAAAGAAGGAGCAGAATTTGAGTTTTCAGAAAGAAATACCGATAAGAGAAAACTGAAGAGAAAAGAGATATTAACGTAAAATAAATAAATTTATTTCTTTATTCATTTATAACAAACGTTAAAATAGCACAAATCTCCCAGGAGCTTGTATTTGGACAACTCATGGCAAATTCAAAAAGACCAACACATTGATTTATAAAAATATAATGTATAGCTTAAAGTATAGGAACATCAAAACAATTGCAGCACTAATCAGTTAAAAAGGCTAAAAACAGCATAGTTCAAATATGAAACACCTTTACAATTAACAGGTTCATCATCATGTTCTGCTTTATTATACAAAACGAAATTACACAAAACACAAACGCAATAGGCCCGATACTTGATATTGGACTGGTGAAAATGTCTAAATAAAGAATATTGCATCACTAAAAACCAATAAGAAAATTGCAATGCATATAAAAGATTAAAATAGTACTAATAAACAATTGAATGAACATATATGAACACATTCACAAATTAAGAAAAAATAAATCATCAGTTTTTCAAAATACATATTCACTTATTATTAAAAAACAAAACACCAGTACAACTTAATAATTACAATACTTAAACTTCATAAACAGTAAAATATAATAAACAATACAAGTATGGTGATCATGCATACACAAAAGAGACCATCCAGGTATGGAACTGCCAAACCAAAATACGTTGCAATCATGGAACACTTGCAGCTGAGACCATTCCACGCCTGAAACAGTCCTTGGAATTTTTCTAGCTTCTTTCGAAAGGTCGCGAGGTAAGCTGTTCTATATCGTGGCGGCTTCGTACCAAAACGATGTGGAGCCATACCCTGTAATTGTTTGGTACATCCAGTCTCCTCCGGTCTTATGATAATTGGATGCCCTATTTAATAATAGAATTCTTGCATATGTTTACAAGAGGCTTATTGTTATTGTTGCTAATGTTTTTAACCTCACATGCCATCATTTTCATATGATTGATATGCAAGAAAGAATAATTGGTTTGTGACAGAATTAGTCATAATAATCTAAAACAAAACGAGAGGCTCTTTCTTTCTGTATTTTGTTGGTAGCAGATTCGTTACAGAACTGCCAAATAGTAGGACAGTAGTCAAATGTTTCCAGTATAAAGACTAGTAGGTGCATTTTGACGGTCCTTGGTCCAATCTCTTCATCACTGCGAGCTGCTTTAATGCATTCCTGCAAATGTTTGGTTAACACTTCTGGAGCTTTCAAAATTAATATCGCCGTTCGAAATATGATAAATTAAAAACATATGCATGATATTTTCTTCAATAAGAGAAAATGCATCCTATTATCACCGGTCGATTATTGTGTGTTACCACTAGGGTCTGACTTGTAATTACCTGGGACCCTAGGTAACTTGGGAACTTGGGGTTACAAATGATGACACATTTTGTCAGTTCCACTTCCTTTATTTAAGTCCAACTTCATATCTTATACATGGAAACTTAATTGTTCAATCCATTCCCTTCTGTTTCCATCTCCATTCTTTCTCCTTTAGTTCTCTTCAGTCTCACTTCCCAAGATCTCTCTGTAATTCTATCTCTGTCTATCTCTGACTCTGTCCTTGGACTCTCTCCTTCTACTCTGTCAACCTTAGATCTCTACCTATTATAAAGACAATCTAACACTACTTCTACTTAACTAAATCTTCTAATTCTATTGGCTAATTCCATCCCTAGGAGGCGGGGCTACATTTCTCTTTTAGAAGTCTTTTGATGACCATTTCCCTGTCTAAGGACCACGATTAACTTATCAATGCATTATACTAAATGGACCTTACATCCACACACCATTGTCCTCCGACCCTTCACACAGACATTCCCACACACTCCATTCCCTTTGAGTTTCTACCACCATGTGTGTCCTGGTCATCTCCTTTGTTAACAATTACAATCTCTTTTTAATTGCCTTCTTCTTACTCTTCTGATCTTACTCACTACCATTTTTCATACTATTATAGTACTTTTTTTGTGTCTGGACACTTAAGCGTCATTAGAACAACCAAGATACTGCCACACCCACAACTATCATATGACCTTTGCTTGAGATAAGTTCCGAATGGTTTAAGATGATACAAAAACAACTCATATACGTACATGTCATAAGGTTGGACGCTATGGAAGGAAATGGTATACTCGCTGATACTCTCCAACCCCTGTATAAAAGAAAATTAAACAGCGCTATTAGTCTAGGGCATGCCATCCTCGATACTCCAGGTGCTATGCTCACTTTCACTCTCTGCACTCTTGGAATAAGTCGTAGCAAAATTGAAGGCACGCGGCTAGCTATTTGATTGGTCTCGGTTTAAAAAAACCCTGACCAATCTATAAGTTGATACCTGTCCTTTGAAAATTAAAGAGGAGCGATACCCGACTTCAAAGCCAATCAGTTTTACCGTTACGCGACCGACAGATTCGTTTGATGTAATTCAAAGGATCAGTCTAGTCCTCTCGTCTCATCCACAAGGTGGTGCGCACTGAGCCTTCGATTTTGCTATGACATATTCCAGGGATGCAGAGAGCGAAAGTGAGCGTAACCCCTGGAGTGTCGCGGATGAGCACATGCAGTACAATCAAAATATGATTAATGACTTGATTTGATAATAAGAGGTTAGTAATGCTGTTTGTAACGTGATTAAATTAAGGATCCCTGTTCCAATGCTGGCCAAAACACTAGAGAATTCCACAGTAGATTTTCATACTGGTATGGGGATCCTTAATTATATTTATGGGGTAAACTTAAATAACAATGAACTTTAACTTTATATTATAAAACTGTTAATTTTTTTGAGTCCAGTGTAGAGGACTCTATTGAAAACTAACTTTAACTTTAAGTTAAAGATGAATGGAAGAGAAACGCAAGGATCCCTGGGAGAGATTTGCTTGATAGGTCAAACGTAAATTCATTGTTACACTCGTATATAAGCTAAATCAATATATATTACATGATATCTACAAATGTGTAAAATGCATAATTGGCGTTGACATTTTAATTGAGGACAACAATTCCATTCCTACTTTCTGCACGGCGCACTACTGAGAGTTATTGTTGGCCAAATCCTTGAACTTTGACCAAATTATGTGAAATACAAGCCACGTTTAACATTAAAAGGGAACAAAACATACACTCATATCAGGTTTATAATTGCTGACGTGGTTGGCGGGAAAGTGCCCCAGCAAGTGATTCGTGGAAGGATGGGCGTGGAAGTGAGGTCGTGATTTTGAGTCAGTACTAGGGGGCCTATCAGTTAGTTTCATATCAATGACCTACATGCATGTTCCGAGAGCAACGTCCTCCTATGGGCCTTCCTGTTTACATAATTAAAAACTATCCAGACCGTCCCTGACCAGTCTGCGCACGGACTCTTTACTTGATATCCCTGTTTAAAAAAACCGCTGGATTTGCCGTCCTAGGTAAATGGGCTCTTTCGGTGAATATGATGAAAGAATATATGCGTCATCATCTGCTTTCAGGAACCAATCAGTATCGCCTTAGTGGTGTTGATATAAATATTTGAATGCTCGCGTGCCTCGGATACATTAACACCCACTGTAGGAAAGTCCTTGTTGGTAGTAGAACTGATGTACAACACTTTGGTACAGCGTATTCATCACGTGTCTTGCTTTAGATTCCAGGTTTTGCGGACAGGTCATGATCCAACAAAGAATACAAATCTTCTGTTTCAGAATACTGGCATCCGTGTTGTTATCTTCAATGAAAATGAGATTAATTATGATTTTGCTCTGTAAACGGCATTATGTAATATTTGTGTCGGTGAACGTTTTATGTAAATAATGTGAATACCTATCTTTTTAAAAGAATATTTTTCATATTGATCTTTATTTTCATTCCTTGTATATAGAATCTTTTTCATATTAATATTTGAAAATTAAGAACCATTAAAAGTTTAAATTCAAAAGATGAAGATGTCTTTTAAAAGACATTTAAATGTGTAATTGAAGGACTCGGTAAGGTATTCGTTACCAGTCCTGATAAGCTCACCAAAACATGCAGCGTCACGTAAAAGCAAAAGAACAAATTTGCCAAACGATGGCTGATATCAGCCATGT